CCAGCTGAATGGCTCAAGAGTGCGAGCTCTGAGCAACAGCGGTTCAATTCCGGGCCCGAGCTGAGTTGCTGCTGAGCTGCCATCAGGTGGCAGGATGGCTCAGCTAGAAAAATAAAATAAAATAAGCACTTCATTAACATGCCTGTGTTCAAAGATTTATATAACCACATGGGCTTGTCAATTCTTCTAAATGAAAAACATGGGGCAAAAATAAATTTATCCATACATTTTAAAAATACTGTGTTGTTCTCTAATATAATAAATGATTGCATATGACTATACCAAGTAATAAGTCATTCCAACAGAACAGCTCTGAAAATCACTACAGGTAATATTGTAGTATTTTATTCCATATTCTGGAATACATGTTTTCCAAATTGACTCAGTATGACAATCTATTACCACTTCTTTTTTTAAAGAATGAAAAAAATTAAGAATTCTAAATATACTTGTTCGGTGATGCTATTTAATATAGATTTTTAAATAATGCCTTTAACATTCTAAATTGAAAATACCTATATAGTTGAACAGTGTATTTAGGATATGTGATGCATCAGTGTGTAGGAATAACTCAACAGACTATGTGAAACTCTTCAATGATATTCCAAAAGTACATGATTTTTATTGCTGTGCATAATTCTGAATTCTCATACACATATCATTTACATTCTTGTATCCAATAGCATGCATTTCAAACAAAAACTAATTAATGTAATCTAATCAAAAGGCCAATGTATTAGACAAATAGGCTGAAAAGTAATAAATACTTGTCACATCCATTTACAAATGCACTTGCAAAAGTTTTGTTTCTTCCAATGAACTATCTTCTGTGGAAATGTGCTCTACCTCCTATGCTCTAAGCAAAAGTTTTCCTCCTTATTAAAATATCGTATTAGGATATCATAGAACGTCCATTCAAATCTACTGCATTAAAATGACAGAATTGTCTTCAACTTCGCTAAGCTGAAAGAAGATATATTTAAGAAAAGAATCTCTCTTCCTCTCTTTGATTAAAGCAAGCAAGCAAGCAGGCAGAGGATAGAATATTTTGAATTTATATCAGGAAAGTGGCTTAAAATGTACAAAGTTCATACAAAAGAGCTGAAGTAGGAACAGATCGAAAGAATTAGTTTAAAAATGACATGTTTTAAAAAATGTTCAGATAGTAGAAGGATGTAAATGAGATGTTCCTTGTATTATTTCCAAAGAATATAAAGCATTAGGGACGTGTTAATATAACTGTGTTTGTTCATAAGGTAATAATAAAGCAATTGATTCATATTAAAGTAACTACAAAACAATATTTAAAAAGTTGTCTCAAATTTGTGTACGGATCCAAAGCAGAGTTTTGTTCCCCTTGGTTTTCCAGGTCTAGAAATACTAGTCCTGATGGCTGACCCAGCGGTGGTTCCAGCATCTCCTGTCCTTTGCTATATCACTCCTTGGAACACTGACTCAGATCATTCATGCTACAAAATGCAATATGAAGACTGGAGAATAAACTAATTTCTCTATATATGGATTAACAAGTTTTGTTAAGCATAAAATACTAATATGTGTTAAATGTAATTGCAATCAAAGTCAATATTTAATAAATTAATGAATATATTAGTTTGTATCTGTAACAAATTACAATGTACTCTAGACATCCATGCTTTTTTTTTAAATCCAAAGTTTAAGTAAGGGTGGTACCAAATGTTACTACATTGAATAGATGCATCATTGGATAGTTTATCAAGAAATAGCTCAAGTGAATCCTTCAGAGATTTGTCAGTGAATAACATTATTAGAAGTAAGGGTCATTTTGACATTTAATATATTGATTCACTAACCTAAAAGGCAATGTTAAAATGATAAGAATGTTGAAATTATTACATGAAATTGCATTATAAGTCCTTTAAGCTAAACAGAGTAGATGATTTACAAAACGATAGATATAGTTAGTACATCACAGAATGAATTTCCCTTTTGTATTATAACACCACTTAAGGAAAGTTTTGTCTTTCTGGATTCTTTTCTCTAAAACAGACATTGTGGCATTTAGGAGATAAAAATGTATAATTTGACCTTTAAACTTCTGTTTCATTAATGTAACCACAAGCAACGGTCACTGGCTGACATGTTTGCACTTTCAGGATTATAGCACTTAAAGTTATTTGATAACTGTTATGCCACTATTTGCCTCTTATTAGACACATTTTTGAGGGATGTTACATTAAAAATAGAATACATTGTGTAAAGCTTAATAAATAATACAATGTAACTCAGTAAATTGTTCTCCTGAGCACTAGATTTCTGTACTTTGATGGGGGTATATATGTTAGAGGGTACATTTTGTTTAGTTTTCTAAATGAGTTACAGGATAACATCAAATGCAATTCTAAGTATCCAAAGCAAAAACATAAACTATAACTCTGTGATGTTACTTTTGATGAAAACTACTTCACCTGACTTATACATACTCAATTAGTCTTTAAGCTCTGTCTCTATTGGTCTATGAACAGCGTAAATACCAGTTGCAAGAGAGGAGCAAAGAAAAATAATGAGAATTTTTTTGTAAATATATATGGTAAACTAGTTTAAAACCTATAGACAATGTAAAAAAGGTAAAAAATGGGATACTCCCTAGAGAATTCTAGAATTACTATAAGCAAATCACTTTGGGTAAAAAGTATTGCAAATCAGATTTCTGTTGCATGTGAAAACATGATTCTGTGTATTAAAAAAATAAACACTGTATTTGGTTAGAAATGCCATTTAGAAGAGATAGAGGTTGTAGCCTTTTAAAAAGTTTAAAAGTCAAAAGTTGCCTAAAATAGCAAAAAAAACAAAAAAACAAAAAAAGGGCACAGTGCACACAGGTAAACAAGGACTGCAGCAAGCCAACAAAACTGGAAAGATATTGTCCCCACTAGTTAAGGAAGCTTCGGTACTGGAAGCAATGAGTGAACTAAACATCGGTCTCCTAGAAGCAAAACGTGGGTTCAGGTATTTTAATTAGCCATACTGTTTATTAGATTACCCATTAGAAACAAAATGCCAAGATATGTCATCAAAAGACTGACAGTCTATCAAACCCTTTAGGTTGAAAATATTAATGATTACAAATAAGCAATATGCTGCTACAAATTGCAGCTCCCAGGATACTGCTGGCAGCCTCTGAAAATAGTGTTTCGTCCTTACCACTATTGTTCAAACTTCTAAAACAAACTTAACATCAAGAATACAAATATGGGTTTAATTTACATCCTCTGTGTGACAAAGAGTTCATCGCTTTTACCAACAATGAAAAGAAAGGTATTTTACTAAGTTATAACAAATTATTTGTTACTTTTGTATACACCTAGTGGCATTTTTGTTTACAGCAAGGATAACAACAAGATATGTTATAAAAGCATGTTATTAGAGTATATTAGATGCTATAGTAGCATTCCACACAAATTCGGACTCATAAGCATGTTTCAGAACGTGTAAGCCATATACCACACCCAGATCCCAGGTCATTAAATCTAAATTACATTGCATGATCCAAACAGAAACATGTATCACTCTCTTTCACCTTAGACACATCATGCATACTGACTTGGTGCAATCCACACTTATTAGCCAACTACCACCCAGTGGAGAGAAAGAAGATCTTTCAGGGAGATTTGAGGTGTACATCAGGTGGGGGTGTCAGGGGGAGAAGGGAGGGCGATGGGAGATGAAGGGATAAGGGTGTTTAGCCTTGCTGAGGTCTAAGCGCTGCTGATCATCAATTTATATTTTCACAGGAGAGAAAATATTTCCGGAAGCTCACTCTACAGTGTTCCTTAGGGCTAGCATCAAGCTATGGATGTTCATGAACGACAAAATATTTCAGTGCTTGAGCTTAAGATAAAGAAGAGAAGAAGGGAGAGTGAGACACAGAAGTAAAACTGAAGATGCAAGAAGGGAAGAGGGGGTAGAGAAAACAGAGTGGAGGGAGGGAGGGAGGGAGGGAGGGTGAGAGGGACCCTGTGTACACATGTGTGAGTGACTGTGTGGAACAGTGAGGAAGTGTGTGCCTTTTAAACAGTAAAAGAAAAGCTGAATGAGAAAGTGCTTGTTAGAGCATGGAAGTGCCAGTGTGTGTGAGGATGTGAAACAGGGAGTGTATGAAGGAGTGTGTTAAAGAAAAAGATGTGTGAGGGTGAAAAACATGGTACTGGAAGGGGTTAGAGGTAAGAGGCATGTGTGTGTGGCAGGATGGGTAAGGAGCTAGGTGGGAAATGTGTGTAAAAAAAGGGATGACAAGATCACAAAATAGGGACATTAATGAAGAAGAAAAATGGGGAGTAGGGAAAGGTGAAGAGTGGAGGAAAGGGGGTTAAATAACAGGATCAGAAATTAGAGTGGTGGAGATAAAAATGAGGAGAAAATAGAAAAGGGGGAAATAATAAAAAATAGAAAGGGGGAGAAAAGAGGCCATGGACAAAAAAGAGAGTACGAAGGGAATGGAAAAAGGGAAAGAGCCGGGGGGAAAAGGGAGACAGCAATAAGAGAAAAGAAAGAAAGCTGAAGAGGGAGAAATTGTGCCTAAGTGTCCAAGTGAGAGGGTAATAAATGGCAGCAGGGAGCCAGCAGTTTGGAAAAGTCGCTTAGGCTCGAGTAAAGCAGAAACAAACCTGATAAACTTGTCAGACTCTCCACGAGTACCCCATGACAGTAAAACAGAGACCTTGTGAATTGAGTTTCGGAGTGGCATCTGCCCCTCTTAAGCCGCCCACTTCACTCATCCCAGGGCGACTTGGCGTTCAGGCAAAGTGCTTCAGCATCAGGAGTGCAGCCTGCTACCTGCCCCAGCGTCAAGGGACCGGGGCTGGGGCAGAATCAGCACCTGGGTTTCTGGAGATGTGGTCTTTGGATGGTCATCACCACCAGCATCATTACTCGGTTTAAAAAGAAGGCAAAAAAAGGGGTGGAAAGAGAGACAGAAGGATAGACTGAGACAAGTACGAAAAGCACGCCGTTCTTCCTACCTAAGCACCGCCGTGTCCCCTTTTCTGACCATCATGTTGTCCACAGCCGCCCAGGGGAAGTCCACACTCTGTCCAGCCGGGAGACAGGAGGGTAGCAGGCAGCACAGGCTGAGGAGCACCGCCGCCAGCCACTGGTTCGAGCAACAAGCACCCTGCACCAACAGCATCATGTCCATCCCTGCTAGGGCTGCTCACTCTCCAGAAGCTTTCAGCTCGCACTCCCCCACCCCCTGGTGCTGGCGAGTCTTCCCGGGAACCAGGCGGCGCGCCACCGGGTTTTTTGTTGTTGTTGTTTCTTTTCTTTTTTTGGTGGGTGGGTAGGTGGGTTTCTTTCTTTTTTTTTTCGCCCCCCTCTAGTTGTTGGATGTTGTTTCTCTCTTTTTTTTCTTTTGCCTCCCCTCCTCCTCCTCTTCGCTTTCCCTCCCTCCCTCCCCTCCCACCCCCTGGCACCACACTACACCTCCTCTCGGTTGCTTTTGGCCGAGTCCGGAGTGTGTCTAATTCTCGGGCGGCTCGCACACCATCTAGCGAGAAGGCGAGCGCGCCGGCGAATGAGGGAGGAGGCGCGGCGGCGGCGGAGGCAGGGCGAGCGGCAGCGGCGGCGGCGGCTTGCAATCGCAGCGGCAGGAGCAGAAGCAGCGCGGGGCGCAGCGGCGGCCGGCGGCCCCCGGGCTCGCGCGCGTTGCCAAGCGGCCGTTTCCTTAGCAACCCCGCCCGGGGACTGGGGAAGCAGCAAGGAGGGGTGGGGGTGGGGGGGAATGAAGGGAGGGAAACAAGAAAGAAAATAAAGAAAACGAAAAAAAAAATATATATATGTATATAAAATCAGGAGGAGGTATATCAGAATTATGCAAACTGAGGGGGAAAGAGAGATGCATCGTAGACACAACGCTTCCCTTCCTGTCATATGCACGCGAGTGATGCTTTGCTAGAAAAGTCTCCGTGTCGGGCAGAGGTGAAGAGAGCAGAGGGGCGCTCGGCTGTCCCTCTCCCGTGCGTTTTACCTCTCGAGGCACCGTAACTTTAAAGTCCTCCAAGTTGTGGTCGGCGCCATCATGATGCCGGGGACTGTCAGGTTTTGTTTGTTTTATTTTATTTTTTTTTATTTTGTTGCATTCTCGTCTGGGCGACCGCGCTGCAGTTAACCAGCGGCCAACTACAATAGTTCACTCTTTACCTCTTTTCGGAAATAGGTAGGGGACGGAGACGGGGGCTGCTTTTTAAGCGGATTGTGAGGGGCGTGCATGGAAGGCCTTGCAGTGGACCATCTGGAGTGTCTATTGGGTCATTCAATATGGTTTGGAGGGTGCCCCCGTCCCCCGTGCGTGTTGACACTAATTTGTGTGTGTGTGTGTGTGTGTAGTATGCGCGCGCGCGCGCGTGTGTGTGTGTGTGTGTGTGTGTGTGTGTGTGTGTAGTATGCGCGTGCACAGGTCGTGCACGCGCGCTCGTGTGCGCGCTGCACGCAGGCGCGCTGGGAGGGACCGGGAGGGTTGAGCCGGGATGCGGAGTCGGGAAGAGACTGCAATCAAGTGTTTTAATTGTATACAGCCTGGCAGTCCTGTTATGTAAGAGGTTAGTTTAACCCGTTTGAGACTATCAGGCGGAATGATCAGCGCTTCCGTATCGAGGCAAGGCAGAGTTGTCGGATTTAATGAGTCACGGCTATATATATTATATGTACACAGCCTCCAAACCAGGTTGGAAGGCTGGACAGGCTTTTTGGTCCGCGGCGCAGAACCGCTACCGCGCTTCCCACGCCGCAGCCTCTTAGCCGCTTGCCCAGCGGTTGCGAGGGGCTGTCCTGGCCCACGGCGAAGGAGGGTGCTGGGGATCGGGCCGCACCTTACATTATCTGCTTATTCCCTTCTTGAACTCATTTCCATATGCAAGAGCCTTTAGCTATTCCAATCCATTTGCAGATCAATGCGAGAATCGAGGCTGGAGCCTAGCAGTTACGCCAATCAATCTTGTTCAGTGAGGAGTTTGGGAAGCAGAGCGGGGAAGTGAAGGAGAGAAACAAGTACAGTAATTTAAAAAGATGTTCACCACCCCCATTCATTCTTTTTTTCCCTCCTCCCCATCCCCCTTAAGCAGTCTTTAAAGATTTTCTTCCCTTGACCCTAGTCTTTATTCCCTTGGCGGAAATAAATAAAGCAAAACCTCGCACACCCCTAACTCCTTTTCCATAATGCTCGCAGGTTCCTTTGGCAAAGCGCGCAGAAGCAATAATCTCTGCAGGGGTCAGCATCCGGCCGCCTCCCCAGACTGAGCTCTTTACGAGGCAGGCAGGGAGTCGTTTTGCTTGGCGGTCGCGGTGCTCAGAGTGATTTTTATCGCTGTGCATGAGGATATGTGGGGAAAGGGAAGGGTTCCCATCACCTGTGACCACCAGATTGACTGATCGAAAGCCCCTAACCCGCATCACCTCTCTGCTAAACTGACACTCCCACGCTCAGCAATTAACAGACGTTTGCAGGAGGAGTTCCTCATGTTGTTAGTATTCACGACTAACTCTCAAACCCGGGTCGGAAATTGAGAGTGCAATAGTATTCAACCGCATTTTGAAACATCAATAAAATGTTAGTCATTTGCGGATGAATGAAAACATTTTCTTTACCGTCTGGTGTGCTACGAAAATAATTGTCAGATGACAGACTCCTGCTAATATTGATGCCAAATACCTAGATAACACTGTCATCTCGTTAACTGTGTTTCTTTCTTTTTTTTCTTGCATGGTACACTGATGGATAAAGCTTAAAATTATCTAGGGCAAGCAGGGGATTAGAAAAATCGACATGTCATGTACATGGGCAAAACTATGCAGCATCACTTAGAATTTTTTCTAGAAATGATCTAGATCCCATTGAAGAGAGGCAGAAGGCGCAGCTTCTGGCATTGTGACTCACTTTAGTGCTATTTTATGTAGGATGGGGTGCCAGCGTTTTCTAGTACAAGCTATGAAAAACATCCTTTTGTAACTGCTGTTTCCCAGAGATCTGACATCTTGTGGGGGAGGGG